CAAACACTTCACCCCCCCATCCGCGAACCGGTCTGTAACCACCCTCGGTGCCGCCTTACACACTCTCATGTGATGGACACGCATGATGGGCCTGATGTCCAGGCCCAGGCCAGGAACAGCAGTCGCCAGCCCTTGTGACTCTTCCTCTGCCACGCCCACGCCCCAAAAGTATGACTGGCAGTGCTTTCTGCAAGGAGACAATGTGGCAGGAACACTCTGTCTGTGGCGCGGCGTCTGTTTGTGCCTCTTCTGCACCGGGCCCGGGGGAAGGAGGAGACACAGGCCCTGGCCTGGAGGGACCCTGAAGGGCTCCGGTTTAGGGGTGGCGGGCAGGGCACAGTGTTGGGGCTGACAATACTCCTTCAGTCCTTATGCGGTGTGGGTAGGGGCGAGGTTGAGGAGAACAGAGGGCGGTTCAGAGCCAAGGCTGTTAACAGAGCTTGATCCAGCCACATGGTCCCCTGAGGGCCCCTTGGTTGTGCAGACCAGTGTGACAGGCTGTGACAGGGCCCACCCTCGGAAGGGGGGCGTGAAATACGGGGGAGTGGGGGGACCACCTACCCTCTGGCTCTCACAGATTCATCCAGATGCTGGGAGCAGTGGCGGGGCCAGAGCCTGGACTGGAAACACGTGTTCACTCCCATGGAGCCTGCCCCCTCCTTGCAGGCCCCCTGCACCCCCATCACGGCCTGACCACACAGTAGCGGTAGCGGGGTTGTCTCTAATATGCCCTGAGGGCTTTTCTGCCTTGTTCTTTTTATCTGAGTGCCCAGCACAGATCTGGCGCCTGCTTGACTGCACGCTGCTCTGTCCGAGCTCATTGGGGACCTTCTCTTTCTTCACCCTGCCCTGAAGCCTGTGGTTCTGGCTGCCACCATGGATGGGCTGGGGGCCCTGCAGCAGCCCCCTCTCTCCCCTCAGTCCCCTGAGGGCCTTTCCTCCTTCCCTTCTTCCCCCAGGCCATCTCCTGCTTCCCAGCCTGGCTGGTCTCCAGAATTCCCTATGAGCTCGTAAAACGTCCCCACGAGCAGGCTTGTCCTGGGCGATGCTGATACAGTGGGTCAGAGCAGGGTCGGGAATCTGTGTGGGGATCCTGGTGATCAGTCGGGTTGGGGAGTCATTGCATGTTGAGGCGTGCATTGGCCAATGATATTTCCTGGCCAACTCAGGTATGAGATGACCTCATCATACCTGAGACGGGGTAGGTGAAGGAGAGAGGGAAGAGGCCTGGGTGGGGGAAGGAACCCGCTGCCTGGAGACATGCCAGTTTGGTTGGAGTCTGTGCTCTGTGCCCACAGACCTAGGGCTCCTGGCTCTCAGAAACCTTGGGTAGGTTTGCCTCGCTGGCACGCTGGAAATGTGCCCCTTGGTCTTTCTCTGCCAATTCAGATCTTCTGAGGCCCAGATGGAGCCTCTGTTGATATTCCCTCCTTTATTGCTGAGGCTTAGCGTTGGGTAACACTTACCCAGTGGCATCCTGTGGGCCAAACACCCCAGGGCTTCCTGCCATGCGGTGCTGTATACCCGGCCTTAGTCTTCTGTCTGGGACCAAATGATAGGTTCCAAGGTCAGAAACTATGTCATCATCTTCCCCAACCCCCATGCCCTGGGTGCCAGGCACACGGTGGGTGCTTGGTCTGCAGTGTTGACTGAGTGGGTTGATGGGTTGGTTGGTAACTTCCTGTAGCTTCTCAGCCCATGCAGATCCCCAAGCATCAGTGCTGGGCTCATGTGCAATCCCACACTGACTCTAGGAATGGTGGAGGGGCAGGGATCCAATTAGAAGGGAGGGAGGTGGGGGCGCCTGGGTGGCTCAGTCGGTTAAGCGTCCAGCTTCAGCTCACGTCATGATCTTATGGTTTGTGAGTTCAAGCCCCTGTTGGGCTCTGTGATGATAGCTCAGAGCCTGGAGGCTGCTTCGGATTCTGTGTCTCTGTCTCTGTCTGCCCCTATCCCCGCTTGCACAAGCTCTCCCTCTCTCTCTCTCTCTCTCAGAAATATATAAACATTAAAA